TGAGACATGCCAGCATTTCCACATCTCAACGAGAGATGCTTGTAACTAGGTGCACTTTCACACATAGAAAGGAGTGAGCGTCTAAAGATTGTTGCCTGCAAAGGGTTGTTCTTTCCTTTCTGTGGAACTGTTGCCAAGTATTTTAGCATTAAAGAAAAAGCATCATTATGTTCATTAGCATTTCATGCAGAATTATTTCCAACTTGTAGTGGAGCAGGGACACATGGTGACTGGATGGTAAACCTTTGTTAATGGGATCAAACTGGGAATGGGACTGCTTGAGTGGAAATGGGACAAGGGAGGAAAAACAAGTTTTTATGAACCTGATCTTCAGCAAAAGCCAGGCAGCTTTTGTTAAAAAGAAAGAACACCAGAATGTGTGCGGTCCTATATTTTCTCAGGAAAAATAAAAGAAACATTATCTCCATTTCAGCTCATCTTTAAGATACACAAAGACAGTGCAGAAAATGAGAGTAATTTTGCTCTTTGTACTTTCTGTCTTCTCTCATTAATGGTCTCTTTCTTGTGAGTGGTCATTTACCATGTTTGATTCAAAGAGATACAGTATGCATAGTTTTAGAGTACTTTTGTTCATGTTCTTTTGATAATTTCTGCTTCTCAGCCTAAGGCTTATTGAGTGTCACTGCCTCGTGAGCTGAGAAAATTGGTTGATAGTGCATTTGCAAACAGTTCAGCCTGATTACATTGATCAGAGCACCAATTTTACAGCTTTGTCTGTGGTGCCAGTACAGAAATTGAACAAGTAAGCAGGCAGGCACCCTGCACATACCTTTCTCTTAGGGTGGTGATTTACTGCCCCTGTCTGCTGCCTTTTACAGCTGTGTGCTGGCTAATGTCCCTGCTTTGCTGGTGAGCTTGTTTCAATCCTGTGATGGATCCACATCTTTAGTGTGGAATCTTAGTCTGACTTTGCCACCAGACTGAAAAACAGACTGTGGTTCATTCTGAAGTTCTTTTCTCATCTTCCCTGTGTTACCTTGTGCTTAGAAAAACAAACTGGAAGGGGTCCACATAGAATGGGGACACAGATACTTTCCTTTTGACCTACTTCCTTTTGACTAGTCTATGTTTTTTGACCATTTTCCAAGGCTTCTCTTGTTTTTTTTGTTTTGACTAGGCCTGATGACTGAAAGCTTTACTGCAAATTACTATTTTTGACAGTTATGATAGTGATATATCACCCTCCCATATTATCCCCCGATCTGCAGGTATCAGAATGCACAAAGATATGCCTAAAATGTCACCAAAGATGTAAATCACACATAGTTAGAAATTAGTTCAGATAAACAGAGTAAGCGGAGTACAGTTCAAGGAGAAATGACAGGCACCACTGATGAGAGTATTTACAGTCAGAAGAGGTTTCTAAATTTGGTTCAAGACATAATTTCTGATTACAGAGTCAGTGCTTTAAAATAGTAAAAAGTAACAACTTGCCATTTATCTGTAAGCTACACATACATAGGTGGATTTGACTAATTAACAAAATATTGGCTATTGGGATGGGTATCCGGATGAGGAGGTGTGAGGCCAATGAGGAAGGTGGGAGGAGGGACAGCTACAACAGTTAAGTATTTAGACAAGCACATCCTGAAAAGCATCTGACTCAGGTGGGTCCAGTGAAGGTTGAATAGTTGATTCTGTTTCAGTTCAGAACAAAAGGAAAAAGGGGCCATGTGGCATCTATGAGTGATACCAGTTTACACTAACTGGTGTGTGAGAGACAGTGTTTTCAGAGCTCTGTCATCTCGTTTGTTTTCTCCCTAGTTCATATGTAGGCATGAAATGTGTCATGCCTATAGAATAGTTTGGGTTGGAAGGGACCTTTAAAGATCATGTAGTCCAAGCCCCCTACAGTGAACAAGTTCATCTTCAACTAGATCAGGCTGCTCAGAGGCACATCCAAACTGACTTGAGTATTCCCAGGGATGAGGCATCTACGAGCTCTCTGGGAAACCTGTTCCAGTGTTTCACCACCCTCCCCTTGGATGTAGTCTGAATATCCTGTTTAACCTTGGCTGAAGGTTCACATGGTGATGTTTTTTTCAGGTGGAACTTGCAGAAATTTGCACGAAGAGTGAACGCTATATCGGCACAGAAGGTGGAGGAATGGACCAGGCAATCTCTTTTCTGGCAGAAGAAGGAACTGTATGTAGATCTTTGTAATTTAAACTAATAACGTAATATTAATTTATGTAAACAAAAATATCTCCAGATGTATCTAGCAGAAAGACAAGAAACTGGAATACATTAGTAAGCAGTATAAGCCCTACTGGCACGCTAATGAAACAGGAATTCTATGTATAAAATTGTGTACAAACAAGTGTGAAAATCTTGAAGGAACAGGATTATGAAAATGAGAAATGACAAGGAGGAGGAAAGGAAAGATGTGAGATGTACTCTAGAAGAGCACCAGGCTCCACACTATTTGGCTAATTCATCCCCAAACTTAGAATGTTTCCAATCTAATGAAATGTGAATGGTCGGTATGCCTTGTATTCAGTGCAAATGGGATAATTAATACAAATATGCTTTCTTGAAACTTCTTATAACCAATTCTAGGAAGTTTTGCCAGGTCCAGCTAAAAAGACAATGAGGATTTTTTTTTGCTAGTTTTGCTAATTCCAGACAGTTCTGTGACTGGATTCTGATGCAGAAGGCATTTAGCTGTCTTCAACATGGTGACAGAAGGTGGACCAGCAATGACACACAGGACCTGCCAAGTTATGCATGAGTGCTTGCATTAGAATTTACAGTGGAATTTCCCTGCTGTCCCAGAAGATGCACAGGACTGCAAATGTTCAAACCTAAATCCTGTCAAAATACTTTTATTTAAAATAATGTAGCATCTCATTACAACCTTTACTGTGCTTATAATTGATATTGTATTGCTACAGCTTTTGTTCCTTAATGCCGTATCTTGGATAAGCTTACATAAAACCCAATATATTTCCTAGCATTACATCAAACAATTCCATCATGAGACACATGTATTTTCAATTTCACTTCACCTGCACCTACTCTACACTTTTCCTTCATACTTGCAGTAAACAGCTCTATGAATGCTGAAGAAAACAACATTTTTCTGGCACACACAGAGGTGATCATGTCATTAGAGACTTTTTTAACATATAGCAGTGGTGATCAGATAGGCAAAGAAATGTTAGAAAATACTAGAAAAGATACTGTGAACAAACCAGAAAATACTTGCAGCTGAATGCAGCTCTGGCCTCCCATCTCAAAAAAACATACTAAAACACAAGAAGTACAGTAAAGGACACTGAGGTTGATCAAAGATATATATATATATATATATAAGCATTGGCTGAGTAAGTTAAAACTTTGTAGCTTGGAAAAGAAGTATCTTTGAGGGTGCTACTTTGGAGCTTTGTAAAACCTCTGAATGGGTAAGAGAAGGTATATTGGGAATTCAGTGTTTTTCAGGACCAAAGGACTAATACAAACACAAAGACATTAGCAAGCAGCTTGTTAAAAACAAACAAGGAAGTCTGGGTTGGTTTTTTTTCCCAAAAAAAAATTGTGAAATTGAGAAATACCATATATTGCAGAAGGCAGATGTTTAAAAAGAATTCAAAAAAGACCTTTTTGGATACACTGATAGACTATTAGCCTATTTGTGGTTATTAAACATTATAATCTGATGTGTCTTCTAATGTAAGTATAACCACCATAATCCTTGCTTATGGGAAGCTGAAAAAATGTACCCCCAAAAAGATGGTTTTGTATACATCTTGTTTTTGTATTCCCTCTAAAAATCCATTTATGGCTCCTGTCAGAAATGGGACACTGGACCAGCTTAGTGGTACATTCTGATCTAATGTAGCAGTTCTTAAAGGGTATATTCAAATGTAAGCAAGCTTGTCTGTCTTGATAGTGATTTTGTGACGTGGTCCAGAATCTCAATGGCAGGGAGCAAAACACATGCTGTACATAATGTACGAGCAGATTTGCCATTGTTTATTTAGCACTTTAGCTGCTCAAGGAACTCTCTGGGGGTGAACGATGCCAAAACCAGTAAGACATCCCTGCTCGCAGAGTTACAGTCCATTTGAAGAAGCCAAAGCAGGGCACATGATTTACAATTCATCCCAGTGAAAAACCAGATGTGAATTTAATCTCTTGATTACATTACATCCTGAATTATTTAATTAATGGATGGCTAGCTTATTCCATAAAAAGGTCACAAAATGTTGGGAACATCTTACACAGCCTGTGTAAGGCATCTGTGAGGCAAGACAGCCCATGTCAGAAGGAAGGAGACAGTAACTATATTTTCATCTGTAGTTTTATTTAATTTCTCTCTTTGATTGTCTGTATGTAAGTCGACCACTGTCTCCAGTCAGTCCTAAGACTCGGGTATTATTCTGTACCACAGTGAACTAATCCTGATTTAGTGGAAGACCAGAAAACTAGGCGGGAGATGGACACTGGTGAAGGGAATGCGAACCCCCTTGTTTCTAGTAGCACGCACATTTGCTTCAGCCAGGCCTGGTACTTTTCTGTAGATCAAAGAAAAGCTGTTGTCTTAAACAGGCAAGAAAAATAGGTTGGGTGGGGTTCTGTGAACTGCTGAAAAAACCCAAAGACTTAATGGAAACATCTTAAAATCCAGCTACAAGGAAAGGCTTGAAATGTATGTGTAATTTGGCCAATGAGGTTAAACCTCTTTTCTCACTGTTTCATGCCAGTTTTCTTTCTTAAACTGTCCCTGGATTTTCAAGAGAAAAAACATGCAAATTTGCCTTTGATTTATAGAACTAAGTGCACTGTTAGCTAGCAGTAAATTAAAACTAACCATTCATTTTTCTTCCAATAGGCCAAGTTGATAGAGTTCAGTCCTCTGAGGGCAACTGATGTTAGACTTCCAAGTGAAGCAACGTTTGTTATTGCTAACAGTTGTGTTGAAATGAATAAAGCAGCAACTTCTCATTACAATATTAGGGTAATGGAGTGTCGTCTGGCTACAAAGGTAACGTATGGCTTGTGTCAAACTCTAATGAAACCTTCATCTAACTATGTGGGGTTTTTTCACTTCTGACCAATTGTGTCTTTAACACCTGGCTAGGTGCTACTTTTAAGAAGCATTTTTCTTTCCAGAACCAGACACTTCCATCTCTGCAGAAACAGAACTCCTGCAGAGCTTAATGGAAGTGCAAGGACATGCCCTTATATAGAAAATTATGTGATTTAGTTCTATTAAATTTATTTTGTATTATATTTCAGTGGAGGAAATAAGTTTATTTTTCAGCAAAAAGTATTCTCAGTTAATAAGATAGACTGTTTCTAATTAAAGCTGAATAATGACAAATAATGGAAAGCAACCAGTGTGGTCATATGTTTCTATGTATATATGGCAATAGATGTGTATTTTCTAGGATTTAGAGGACATCAAAGCTACTAGTTGGAGGCCTGGAAGTAATATTGGAAATGCTGAATAGCAGCATGTATGTCAGTGTTAAGTTGAAAAACAGGCTTGAATCAAAACCCAACATTTAGGTTGTGCTGCCAGTTTACAGCTTGCAGTTGCCTCCAAAATGTATGGAATTTGAACATGAGAAAATCGAAGTTCCACTTTAATGCTGGATTTTGTAGAACAAACATTTAAGAATGGGTAGATGTAGGGTTTGATTTGAGTTTGTTTTAGGAATACAGTGGATTTCTCTTTGGTTAGGTTAAGTGAGGAGGAAGCATAAAGATTCACTGCAGTTAGAGCCAACATCATAATGGGCTGTGTGAAAGAACAGAATTTAGGTCACAAAGTCCAGATTAAAGTTTTTAAAACTGCAGCACTGAATACCTTGCCACAAAACATTTGGCCAAGATCTGAGCAATACTCAATACTTTAAGCATCTGTTTGCATCATAGTTCTATGAAAAATTACCATAGTTAATGAAAAAAAAAAAAAGAGTTGAAGGGTTGATCAGATACTAGTAAAATGCAACATATAATACTGCATTGTGATATTTTTTGAGGAGGGAAGCTAAGCTTCAGATGACTTTTTAAATGGGTTTTAAGCTCAAGTATAAAGAACATAGCTGAATTTTAGGTGTATATAAGATGGTGAAAAGAAGAGCACTAATCATTGTAGCTTTTGTCACTGAGGTGTAACAAAAAGGTTCTTAGGCCATTAAGAAAATCAAGCTAAGGGCTTCTCTGTGTTTTGGTCCTGGTATAACTGATACACCTCTGATTTAGGATAGTAAATTGACTGTGTATTTTAGGAAGATTTTATTTTGGTATTTTTTTTGTATAAGAAACAGAGCCTTCACAGATGATCTATTCTCAAGGCAAACTACAAGGAGTGCATTAAGTTGTAAGACCTTTTCAAGTATTGTTCTATACACACCAGATTTTGTGAACTGAATCACAGATTTATGAATTGCTTTATATTATTGGTCCTGAGCAGGGAACTGGAAAGGTGGTAAGGAAAAATGTTGTTATTTGTTTGTTTTTAACATTGCTATTAGCTATGATACAGTCTCTAAAAATGTACCTTTAGCAGATGCTTGATTTTAAGGAGACTAACAGCATACACCTGTTTATTTTTAAACATATGCTACCCAGATGGAAAGTTGCACACACTATAAAAATACATTGAGCCAGGAAAAGACTGTCTTTAGGAATAGGTCACAGTGGGGTGAAAGAAGACAGGTAAGTGGAAGCAGGGAAGTCTTTTAAGCACCATTAAGCTAATGGAACTATGAAATAACATGCTGGGCCATGCAAAAGTGCTTTAAAAGAAATTCTCATCAGTAAGTGCCTTAGGAAAGGCTTTTTTTCCCCTTTCTGCTTGAGGTCATTCTCAAATTTCGTACTCTTTGCAGAAAGCTCCATGTAAGTAAAGATGCCAACACAACATATTATTAGTGTAGAAAATTTTGATGCCAGTCTGTCCAGAGCAAGGAAGCTCTTGATCATCTTCACAACATTTTCTTTCTCAGGTTCTGTTCCTTTCCCTTCCATTCTGCATGGTTATTCTTTTGTTGGTTGGTTTTGGTTTTTTCTCTCTCTATTCTTGTAGCCTCAGAGTGCTTTCCTGAGCTGCATTCAACAGTACATTCTGCAGAACACTCCCAATTCCAAAGGAAATTAACTTGTACTTTACACTTCAGAAGATTAAGGCAGTAGGTGCTGCAGGATGAACATGAGCATCAGTGAATGTCATGCTCCCCCTGCTTCACTGTGTGTGGTTCACTGTCAGCTAGAGAGCAGTGCCAAGTTTGTCTGCAACTGGAATGCCAGGGAGTTAATCAGCTAATGTTTGTTAAATGTGGAAAGATGCTCAGATAACATTGTAGAACTGTAAAGTGTTAAGAAAGTGATGTTGCTATATAAGGGCTAAATATTCCTATACTTACCCCTAGTCAGACTATTTTATTTATATTTGTCCTATAATTTACTAAGTATGTTTTCCTCTCAGTTACAGTTCTCTAATGTGCTTGTATTGAACAATAAGGGGAAAAAAAGCCTACAGATGCTATATCCTGGCCAGCTGGATGATGTCCTCATCTTTAATCCATCTAGTCAGAGATCATCTAGAAAATATTCAACTGTGGGATCACTATTGGGATTACTTTTGTACATTTAATAGATGGACTTTTTCCCCATTTCTGTTGTGTCCACTACAATTTGAGCTGCTGCAGCTAGATTTTCAAAAACCATTTCTGTTTGCTTATAACGTTTCTCCCAGGACTGTTAGAATTAAAACATTGCTATAAACAGTATAGACCTTCCCAACAAAGCCCTGCCTGCTGGCCTAACAGGGTTAGTTTCCATTTGGAATATTTGACCTGTAAAACCCCACTGTAGTTAGCTCGTCTTAAACACAGCATCTCCCTTCAAATACAGAAATGGGAATAGATACGACAATACAAGAGATATTTCTACAGGGCATTAGTTATTAAAAAAGGAAGCAGAAAAAATGTTGTTGCCTTATAAAACATTTTTTTTGTAAATTCATAATTCTGTTTAACTTCTGGCAATGAAGTCTAGGGGATGCTCAAGGTTAGGATGAAAGTCTAAGGAAAAACACTTCCATTCATTTAGCATCTTGAAGCAGATTTAAGAACATGGTACAAATGTGCAAGAACAGAAGAGATACTGTGTATTTAAATAAAGCCAATGAATTAAAAATTGTTATTCTAACTCACAAGTAAGCTAAAATACAATTACATGAAGGCTGTGGCATTGTTGGTACTTGGCACCTTTGAAAAGCAGCCCAGAAGTGACTTAGCCAAGTCTTGTACAAGACAGTTTTCTCACCCTGAATTCTGCATTAGCCACTAGACAGTGCTGCTTTTTTCTCTACCACTGATCATACAAAACTATGTTTTAGATGGCAACAGTCATATGATTTGGATTTTGATTCAGTTTTGTTTGTTCTGCTTTACTAAGCCTCACATAAATTTTAGCAAGTCACTAGATGGCACCAAAAGTAGTTAATTTTTATATACTGTAATAAAACAAAACTGGAAAAGTTGGAGGAGAGCAGGAAGGTGAGAATCTGTAGCAGATAGCTGGGCAGCACATCTCCTGCTG